TGCATGGCAAAAAACAGCCACTAGGTGCTAGCTGTGACTGCTTGTAATCAGGAAATCATAAGTTATTAGCATTCTGTGCATATGATCGCTCTAGAAGACAAGAGGGAAGAACATGTGTGCTATGTTTGGGTGATGAAGTGGGCTAGGGGTGGTGTGACCCCACTAAGACGAAAGTGGCAACACCTTGCACGTCGACGTTAGCCGTGAGCCTCGCAGGGACTCTCAGGCTACCCCATGCATGAATGTTTTTTTTCATATGCTTTTTTATTCTTTTTCAAAACAAACGGGAGGACAGCTCTCATCCGCTTGTATTTCTCGGTGTTGTGGGACAAGTGGCAACGGGAACAAGGCCAAACCAGCTACAGACAAACAGCAACAATGCTCATTTTTGGTTTTCCTGAATTGAAGGCCAGGCTAACAACCACCGGCGATGGGCGACACACCCGTGCTACGGGAGGGGTGGCGCCGTGGTGCAACGTAACAGGGCGTACCCGTCCACTACACGAGGTTTTCATCCCTCGTGCATGCTACCAGATCTGCGAGGTGGAAAACCATCCAAGCAGTCATAATTGAGGTTTGTGCATTATTAAGTAACTCCAGCTACCAGATATTTTATCCGGTCGAGGGGAAAGCCAGGCCAGTAAAACAGCTAAGTCGTTTCGAACAAGCGAACAGCAAACAGCCACTGGAAAGGGCAAGTCGCGGGAGCAAATGAAACATCAACAACCTCTTGGGCAATGGGAGTAGAATGGAGATGTTTGGAGCCTGTGTACTATAGCTAAACGAAAACGAAGCATTGGTGTGAACCACTCTGTCAACCAGAGATGCACCAGTGCTATGTGTATGTGTGAATGATTGGGCTGTGGGCCCAAACAAGTATTTCATTCATAGCGCATCTTCAGACCCACCATCTAATATGTGTGCGCTGCGCGTATTCATGGGATGCAGAATGGTTCGGAACAGCATGAAACTGAGGCTTCAGTTTGTCCGAGGTTAGTTAAATCCGGCCAAAGCAAAGCACCAGACATTAGATAGAGCTGACAGAGTTACTCAGGGATGGGACCAGATTTGAAGAACTAGGAATAATCGGGCTGGGCACAAAAGCTTAAGGTTGGATGCTCAAAATTTATATGGACGATTCTTTAATCCAGTCCGCAGTTCTGGGGTTAATTCGGCGCACCTTCTACCATATTACTCACAGGGACTTCCATACACCCAAAGGGGCCCAAGTCAAAAAGCTTCTTGCGCATCCCAGCCAAAGACTCACGAATGACGTAACCTTCAGTGACCGTTTCAAGCGAGCTTCTGCAGAAATGGTTGTTGTCTCTAACTCCATGGGCCAAAAAGCGTGTCCCACGATGCTTGACCTCTTTGCCCTGAGTATCGTCGACTCCTAGTTGACCTAAGTGTGAGCTATGCCATGTGAATAAGGTTTGGTCGATGGTCGTTCCACTATTGACCCAGTAAACAAGGAGGAAACATGGTAAGAAGATTTTCAAGCTCAAAGCGCACTGTCATTAGTCACTTTTTTCTCATCTCGGGTAGTTTGGGATAACATTCCTCTGACGGTTACCCGCTCACCTTCGAGAAACCACTTCAAAACGCCATTAGGTGTTTTGTGCAGATCCTTGCGTTGGCAAGCTAACTGCCCTGCGTTGAGGACCTAAAGGGTAGTACTACACCCTTTTGGCCCGTGACTTTTAAGTGTACGACAGCTGCTGAACGACAAGAAGACAAACGACCAGCGAAAATTGGGCGAAAACTTGGATTCTTCGAATCAATCCGTGAACCGCGTCTTCGACGAACAATGCATTTTTCTGAAAAACCTTGCCGGGGAGGTGAAACATTTAACGTCAACAAGTTGCTTTTTACACACATGCCGCCAGATGGGAAATCAGTCTCACCTGCCGTCATTTTTTGCGATTTGTCTTGCTCGATCTCTTTTTAAAATTTTTGGTGCACGTTTGACTTTAAACTTGCCGCGCCGTGACTTCAGAAGTGGGTTCACGCGCGTTTGTTGATAAATTTGCTGTTGTATCCCTTTCATCCTTCACGGCACTTGAGAAGGCCTTATATCAATATATGAAGGATAACCACATGGTATTTGCGCCTACATCCGATAATCGAAGCACCAATGCTGTTTTACGCTACAGATGGGTGTACCACAAATGTAGCAGGCGACCTTCAAGACCAACGAGTCGAGGAATCCGAAGAAACGAGTAAGCAGAGCGTATTTGCTAATAAAAAACAGTGCTTGAATCACCGGCCGTCCATTGCGATTTTTTCGATGAAGGTGAAGTAACTATCTCGCAATCGCCCCTTCATCTTCTTGAATACAACATAGGTTGCCGCTAATTGATCGTCAGCCAACCGGAGACGAGTTGAGCACCTGCAGAGCCCTCCTGAAATACGGAGCGTCGTCGTGTGAAGCTGGGCAGTTTGTGGCCAATGAATTCGGCGAGACCGTTGCCACTCAGTATATATGCAACTACGGCCGGAAGTGTCGACCGGATCTGCTGTGTAGGTGCCACATATTTGGGTATCATCGTGGCGGATGATATCTTTGGTCCTGGTCAAACTTCGGGAGACTGGGCGCGCGCTTGTGTGATGGTCACTATGGCCACATATGTTTCTCCCGATGGCAGCTTATATCGTCGTTCCGACGCTTTCCAGATGTACCGATTGATGGCGGAACGCAAGCAACAAACCGTTCTGGGTAATTATTTTGAAGCGCCTAATGTATGGCTGTACACACAATCTGTGTACCTTCTTGCCAGCCGACGGCATGGCTACCGAGCGTTCGGTTTTATAAGCGCACATGGAGAACGAACAATCTGCCCCTATGCGTAAACTGTTCAACATATTGAAGAAATAGTGGACGAGCACTATCCAGTTAAAAATTTCGTTATGGAAAAGTTGGTGGCACGAATTAAGACGGCAGGGGTCGTGTTCGGCTGTGACGTGATGGCTTGCTATCGGAAACCATGTATGTATGACTTAGTGTACGAGTATTTTTGATCGTAGATACACTCTGCAAACAGCCGGCACATATTCAACCGGATGGCTCGCCTGGACAGTACCGTACAGTAGGTTTATCGCATTACAAGCACACAAATTCAGGTGAGATGTGCACATTCTCCATCCCACGGATCCACAATTTGTTTCTCATCCTACGACTCATTGGTTGTACGCCCCCCCCCCCGAAAATGGGCCACCATGATAGGCGTAGGCTCCATATGGCTAGCTGATTAAGCATCGTGGACTCATAGTCGCACCTTAGTCGTGTGCGTCAGCCAGGTTCGTCCAGCTGTACGCTATGATCGATTTGGGTTCCTTGTGGCCAATTGATCAACCTCATGGTCTTCTTAGTAGGGTTGGCGAGATATAACAGAACACTCCGCTGTTTAACAATAATGAACGCGTTCTAAACGACTCTAACTGGTGGAATTGCACCTCCGCATAACTGCAACCACAAGGGCCACGTAGATTCTAGAATGTTCAGGAAATTATTTCAGCTGTAACACCAACCCAAAATTTTGCATATTGCAGGTGCATCATCTTTTTCCGCTATTCGGGATTTCTTATTGCATTAACCAACACATTCAGAGTCGGTGGTGTTTATTGACCTTGAGGACTCGCTCACCTGAACAAACCGCCGATGTGAATACTTCGCATAAAATATGTACATACACATTATACTTAGACATTCTGCACTATGAAGTAGCAAGCCTGAGAATGTCGTCCCCTTCTGGAACTCAACACCATTGTGCACCATGAGAAATCGGCCCAAAGGCATTCGCCATTTTACGGATGATCCGACGCACCTTCTCTCGTATTACTTGCATGGACTTCCAAATACTCTATGGGGCCCACCTCAGACCGCTCCTGGAGTACGCCAACCAGGTTGTCTACTCGGGACGCACAAAGGACGTCGCCCTCATCGAGCGTGTCCAGCGGGCCGCTACGATAATGTTTGCCGGCCTCAAATCCGTGAAATACTAAACGCGTCTGGCGATGCTTGATCTCTTTCCCCTGGAGTACCGTCGCCTCCCAGGGGGCCTAATTCTTACTTACGCCCTGTGTGAACAAAGCTTGGCAAGCAGGTTTTTTACCGTTGACCCAGCAAACACTCGAAGGGATATAGTAGGAAAATTTTCAATCTCGGAGCACACACATCCATTAGACAAAATTTTCTCTCATTTCGGATAGTAGCTGCGTGGAATGACCTTTCTCCGAAGGTTGTCCACGCTCCTTCTAGAACCCAGTTTTTTGTTTATTCGAATCATCGCCCTGGCAAGAATACTGCCCCGTGCTGAGAGCATAAAGGACAGTGCTACATCTTTTCTACTTGTGCCTTTCAGGTGAACGACAGCCACTGACCGACAAGAACAAAAGCGACCCGGGAAACTTGGACAAAAGCCTCAATCCTGTGTATCAATCCGTGAATCCGTGAATCCGTTAAAAGGGCCGGCGTGGCCATCCCCACTGATGAGTGGTTAATCAAGTTGCGTAATGAGCACGTTGTTAGGCGGGAGCTTTTTACCTCATGCGAAAGCATAGGGACGGCTTTCGCAGGACCGCCAGCTAATGAAGTACCCTTCCAATATTGATTCGATTCTAAACCGAACTGGGTTTGTTTTGTCACGCCAAACTATTCATGGGTTCAAATAAAGTTATACTCGAGTTTCGAGATCATCAGGTGTACTCGTGGATCCGGCATGTCTTCGAATGTTAAAATCGATAATTGGGATATTACTGTCATCGTCATATATTTTATCGGTGTTTTATTAACGGGGTTCATTGTAAGTTACGTCGTTCTGTCGGTCAGATACATCTTGTATGATATTTATGATTTAATTGCATTTATTAGGCAATGTTCGCCAGCAGGCGGGGGACAGTCAGTGGGTTTTTCCTCGCAGGAAGATTCATGAGTTGGATACCTGTAAGTTGCAACGCAAACCAGTGCTTATCTCTGGAAGATTGGTGCATCTCTGTTTGCTAGCAACATCGGTAGTGAACACTTCATTGGACTTGCTGGTTCTGGAGCGGCAAGTGGATTAGGCGTTGGAGCGTTCGAATTAAACGTGAGTGGCCCTATAAAAAATTTCCTACCATTCTTTTAGCCTTAGTTTACGAATAGCCTATACTAACAATTCAGACTATTCATGCTGTAGATGACTGTGGTGGAAAAATACGTCCACTTATTTATACAATCTTCAATAAAGCAGCCCTGTCTACAAGTCAACCAGAAGTATGTAGTCGTTTGTTGCCGTCTTACGGCCGTGTTTTTTTCGATTACAGTGAGTGATTACAGTGATCACAAACATTGGGCGACACACAACATAATACGAAAACAGACGTAGGGAGATGTAAAGTTAAGTACTTAGAAAAAGCAACAGTATAAAATAGGGCGCTCAATTCCAAAGCGCAGGTTCATCCAATGATTTTTATTAGATTCACATGAACCTTAGAAAGGTAATGGGACGGTTAGAGTAAGCTTTTTAGCTCCTGCAAGATACAACAGACATTCGATCACTTTGGAACGTTTGAGGGGACCGCTAAGTGGTTATGTTGTACGGTCGACAGCGTTCAGTCACTATGTAAATGTCACTATGGATGCTACAGAATCTACATTAGTGTGATTTATAGGTGCGGCTAACCCAGGGAGAAGTTTCAACGGTTAGGGTGACCATATTTTTTACCATTTCTTTTTGGTGACCGAAGCCTAATTGTATGCTTTCAGATAAGCGGTTGGTGGTTGGTCCTAATGTGAAACATGAATGTGAGGTTCACTGGCTGCTTTATGTAGGACACCGGGTGTATGCTTAACAGCAATGTCGTATGTCACAGGTTGGGCTGCGCTTACCCGGACGACATACTTGGTACCCCGCCGTACGTGCGATGAATTTTGTCATGGTGATCCATCCATGGTTTCCAGCCAGTGTAAGAATCTCTCCGAATGACTCTGAGGCGTATTGACGGAGTTCGAAGTGCTTTCTACTGACTTTGGTAGCTTGATGCTCTGGGTGGCGCTAACAAGGTTGTGTTGGATGATTTCTATGTCTTTTCCGTTGTCACGCGACATGCGTGACGGAGGGAGGAGGTGAAGTGGTCATGAGAATATGTTACATTTTTCTCCAGTGAAAGGTGTATGATTACCGACAAACCACTTGTAAGGTATTCCTTGAGTGTGTTGTAGCTGAGGGTCATTTGTGTGCTTTTAAACGACATATGACGCTCTCCAGCCTCTTCACGTTATTGTCATAGGTTAGCAAATGGTGATCTAAGTACCAGTAAGGAGCCCAAGGCTGAACATTTGGGTATGGTGCAGTTTATAGGTCTATGGTAGGACGTAATCGTATGTATTTTTACTCTTTTAGTGGTTCACAGAGTTTTCTTTTTATTTCAGCAGGAACCCCAAGCCTTTTTNTGGACAGGTTATTACGGGATGCATTTTATTTTTTGAAAGCCCAAGAAAAGCGCAAGTAGAAGACGCTTGCTTTAACTCAGACCTTATAGCTAGTGGTTCATCCGTTTTTAATGGACATAAGACTCGTAAATTAAGTTATCTTGTGTCTAAACTCGTATTGCAGTAGCATATTCTGTAGCCATGGTTATCTTTACGAACGGTCTACTCCGATGGGTTTTGTCGCCAAGAAAACAGGTAGGAATTTGGTTGATCGTCGGCTTGTGCTGTTTACACTGTGTTGCGCCTATGAAGATGCCAAAGTCATTTGCTTTGGCGTTTCCAGGGAGGGATGCACCCTGCGTTGGCCAAGCGGCAAATTATAACCAGCAAGTGAACTGGGGCTGTCATCATAAGAAGGCTTGTTCAAATCGGCTTCTGAAATGTCCTTACTGTGCTGAGTGATTAATTGGGGGAAAACTAGATAAACTCTGGAGATTGCCCGCAAGGTGCATGCACATCTGAAATTAGACTACTCAACCCAGGTGCCATGCTCATATCTGTAGACAGAATCAACACCTACTACCAGGCCCGGTAGAGCGCTTCTGTGCACAGTTGAGGCTCCCACGGTGTAGCTTTTGTCTTGTGTGACCACACACCATTCGTGTATTTTGGACCTCCGTTCCGCCTAAAATCACTTGACGTGGTTTATAGGTATCCAAAATGAATTCATCGGTAAGGTCTATGTGAGCATACCGTCTCAGTGGGTTGTGTCATTTGGCTTACAAAGCATGGATAATAGAATATTTTGGTATCATTTACTGCTGAGCTCAGATGACTACAGTGTTGACCAGTCAAGAGAATTTACCAGCGAGGTTGCCGATAGGTCATGCCTAGATCAGCGACATAAAAATAATGACCACATACTTGTTAAATTCACTGCACCTAACTATCTCGCCATCAACAGTACGCTCCTTTAGCACTCTAAATTACAATTACAGAAGTAGCTTTCGGAAGACGAACGAATTTCTTCCTGACAAAATCTGGATGTGTCAGCGATAGAAGATTGTCGGTTGAATGGAGAACTGAAACAAAGACACGGGGAATGAGACCATACCCTGGCAATGGCCGAATTCCGCCTTTACTTTTTCAAGGGAACTCATTAACACTTGAGACGCAGTAGCGTAGTTATATTAGGGTGTAAACTTACTCAAAGCGCTTTGAATGAATAGAAACGCAGACGGAAGTCAATACTTACAAGGCCTTGGAGGTAAGCTGATCTTCTGGTCCACATTTATGGCATCTATTGGACAAACCTAGGATGACCACACTTTGCGTCGAGCAGCTAAATTATTGGAGTGTAGACAGACTGACGTTAGTCTTTTAGAACGGATTTTCACGCACGTTCAACCTCTATTGCATTGAATTTTGGAGGCCGAAGCTGTCTTTTTGAGTAAGATATCTCTCTTGAAGCCAACAAAGTAGTGAGCGAAGGTTATTGAAGAATCACTCTCATAAGTGTAAACGATAGGATCTTTTGCTTCCATTCTTAAAATACTTCAAAACCTCTAAGCACTATAACGTAAACCAATCAGAGTTGTTTTTGCTTGGCGGAAAATCGTTTGGACTAACTTATTACCCTATGTTGGCATTCGGAACATAAGGCGAAATTTCAAAAGCAGACCACTGTTTCATTGACCGGAAGGTCCGTGGTTCGAACTTGACCTCTGCATCTTGACTTCCCCTGTCTAGGCTCGGGCAACCTGGCATTATCTCAGCCCTCGTGTTTCCTTTGGGTGGCATGACAGCTAAGCACCGAAAGGGTATTACGGCTGGATGATTATTGTTTTTATTAATTATTTGACCTTTGAGCTGTATCTGATCATATCCACGATGACCCTACGTGGACCATCCTCCTTGCTGATGGCTTCCCAGCCCAATCAAAGCCTACCTGTCAACAAAAAATAAATCTGAGACCTTCAATTTGAGTTACACTTCCAGTGTGTCTTAAATGTATAAATGGCCGCTGAAGATGCACAGTTTTACTGATAGCGAAGATTGGTTGAAGGTTGAACGGAAGAGTAGAAAAAGCTATGATATCAGCCTTTATAACATTTCAAGCACCCCACTTGACCAAAAACACTGACTATCAACAAGCTCAGCATATCTGACTGGTCCAAGGGAAGCCATACTAGCAGTTAGCATATCCTTTGAACGCCGGATAGTCAAGAGCCTGAAGAATGGTATACGAAACTGGTTAATTGCGGAGGCCAACAAGATGCAGAGGGCTTTTGTCCGAATTTAGATGGCGGATACGGGCTAATATGGGGAAGAAAAAATAAATACAAGATATTGGTGGGAAAGAACCAGGACAAGACGGTCTCCAGTCCGCTTTAAAGAAGGCGGGAAATTCCTGGTGATCCATCTAACAAAGCTCACTTCTTTGATATAGAATTAAGAGAAGCTGCCTGAAGAATCGGGCATCTTAACAGTTATTCCTATCCTCAGACGTAGTACATGGACAAAAAATCACCGTGACAGACTGGTAGCAATCGCATCGAAGGTCCTCTTAGGTTTTTTCTTCGAAGTTTGAGTGAACACGAGGAGATATGTTTGCAAAAATCAAGCTGGGTTCAGTCCTGCAAGAGGATGCATCGTTCAAAGTTTCACCCCGATAGGTCCTGGACGGCGATACTACTTTTAGCAATCATCACTTATTATTATCCTGACTTGGAAGCTGCCTTTGACTCTGTGGATTGTCAGGCACTATAGCAATGTGTGAAGCAAAGGTGTCCCACATAAGTTCCTGACTCCCTTTAAGGTAATGTGCACCAACTCCCTTGTGCACGTGAAGATCTGTGGACAGCTCTGTCCTGAGTTCACCACATCCAGGGTGTCAGAAAAGGCTGCTCTTTTTTTACCTTTCCTCTTCAACTTTGCCGCTGAAAAAACAGAAGGACTGACCACACTCCATAAGTTGCCCTGGTTTGGTCAGATGCTTTGCATGTCAGTCGACCGACCTATTTGAAGCTTTCATTTTGCACAACCGTGCAAGTGATGGAAGCAAGCCAGAAGTGTTCGAACAATTACTTAGCGGTAAGGTGTAAAAGTCATTACCAGTCAACACAGTTGCGCTGGTCATTGCCGCTACAGTGGATGCTGGTCCCAAGACGGGACATATTAATTGCTAGAGACATTATCAGACATGGCCTAGTTGCATGAAGGCTGACATTTCAAGTGTAAAGACTGTCTGCGTTTGATGCATCTGGCTGCCTCCGAAGTCTAATCAGGACCCCAACTTTGACATTGACGCCAGTGAAGACAAAGTTTTCATTTTGTTATGCATTTTGGGCGCTCGGTAACAGTTCCCTCGGCTCAACACGCTTGGGAAGTCTGTTGTCGGGAAGTCTGGTTGTTTGTGATAACTTTCACAAACGATGCGATGTAGTTAAGTTGATACCACTTCAACTGGCAAAGAAACTTTTCCAATCAAATTACCATACTCATGACATGAACTGCAAACAATTTCCTCATTGACAGGAGTGGCATTTTGTTATATATTTCATAAAAGCCTAACTGAATTGACTATTGCATGCGGATGCAACAGGTTCAGAAATAGCCCGATATTGTTTACCGGGCATAACACCGACGACAAACGATAAATCACAGATACAGGATACCTGCTTTTCCCATGCACTAGGGATGACTTGCTGTAAAGAGAGGCACATACTTCACATCATTAGTTCATTTTTAATTTCACTTGACGAATTCTTTGGCTTGCATAGGATCTCAGTTTTGCGTGGTTACAAAACTTTTTGATTTCCCACTTATTTAGTTAGACGGTATATTTTAATGTCCTGTTTTCAATGATACTACTAAAAGGAGATTTATGACAACGTACTCCTCAGCAGCACAAAGGACTTATTTCATTTGGTCATTCAACTTCCAAGTTTTTAGTGCTTTTCAGGCAAGCGCTGGATAGTTGCTTGCCAAAGATCGCTCAAAAATGAACAAGTGAATGTCCTCAGTCGATTTGATTTTCCAGAACAAGATAACACCGCTACTTTTTTACTTCATTCAGTTAGGTATAACGGTCTATGAATTCATCAGGGATTAAATGGTTGCTTCACGAAACTTTATACCAAACTAGATGCATATTTCTTCATTTTAAACTGATGTCGTGGTTGTAGGAAACAAAGAGGCGAGCGCTAATGATCTACTCCAGAACTTAAACAGTGTAGTATGAATTCTAAGTGGTTGCTCTTCTTTACGGTTCATGACAGTTGAATTTTGAGGATCTGTCATTGAGCCGACGATTCAATGACGCGAGGGTTAACTAATATGCTCCACCTTATTTTACACCTTTGTTTCATTGTACCGCATCCGGATGAATATGCTGGGCATAGAAAGCATACAAAAGTTTCATAAAGCATATATTTCACCTAAGAGTTAATGTATTCGTTCATTTACAAGCAAGCCCTAGCATGCGTCACTGCTGTGTGGCTGTCAGTGCTGATAACGATGGTGATGTTTCTTCATTGGCAGCATGTGGTGGTTATAAAGTGCTGGACACCAGAATGAAGCTAACCACATTTTATGATTCACTAGTGGTGCCCTAAAGTTATCAAAAACGTATACTCACGGTAGACCGATGACCAGCGTATGTCTTGCAAATTTATTCGTCCAGTTTCATTTGCTAGTTACCGTGGAGGCTGCTTTTAAGGCAGATGTTGCATATAATTAACGAATATTCATCAACGTGATGTAAAGCCCTACACGCCTCCAGACTTTCGGTCCATCTTTTTGGAACGTAACATTTTGAGGTTTTTTTGCTTCGTTTACTGATAAGCCGTTTGTCAGTCTTATTTGATTTACATTCAAACATAATCTTCCATTTAGCAATAACCTCTGACCTAGCAGAGGTCAGAGGTTAACTACTTCTCTGCTTGTGCCCCTCTGAATTGTGCAAACAACTGTCCCGCATGTAAAATACATAAAAAAACCGCAACTTTTGATGCTGGGTGTATTTTTTTCATTGAGTCCCTTGTCGTACAACACAAAACTCGTTGCAAACTCGCCGCAACCAGCCTATGCAAGCCTTAGTTCTGAGACAGCGGCTGCTGAAGATCTGGACATGCTACAGTTCGGCTGTTCGAAGATGCCACTTCTCACAGCCATACAGCAAAGTGGGCCGTCTCATAGCTTGACTCACGCATCCCTTGCGATTCAGGGATGTACTGCTTCGCCGCCATAGGTGCCTCAAACGAGTGCGCGCCACAATAGCAGAGTTCAGACATTCCAATTCTTGAAAATGTGTATTTAATGAAGCTAGTGTCCTTTGCACAATAACGGAGCGCATGGTGAACGTTCACTGGTTTTCACCAATCAAACACGTTTATACAATGGTAGTCTGTTGACTTGTCCTTACATGGGCGTTCCTGAAGCAGTACAGTTGACTGCACATCCTGTCGTTAATTCTCATCCTTTTTATTTGGAAATTGATACCGTTGCAGTTCATCTATGTTTCCATCTGTGTATCGAAAATCTGTCCTAATTGAGTTGTCTGCATTAAGCTAAATAACGAGTGCATAACGACTCCGGCTGTTTGTATAAATTTAGAGTTATTCCTCATCAGCCTAATTCTGCACCGATCCTCAACCGTCAGTCGCATCATTAACCGATTCCAGTCCCTCCATTTTCTGATTTCTGATTTTTTCTGAGTAATCCGTAGCTCACTTAGAAGCTTTCTCCCCCATACTGTAAACAAAAATGCCTACCACTGTGAATCACTGGTTCGCCTTTTTATTCTTCATTCTAGCGTTGAGTGAGGGTGCATTTCACAAAGAGATACAACCAGTTTTTCAGCCCTCAGTGCGACTTCATCTTTTCGAACCTAAACTATTCATGTTTAAGCTTCCAAAATAGTGTGGCTTTTGACAAATAAATCCACCATATATGTTAAGGATGGGGTGCTCTTCTAGCGTCTCAACAACTGTTTAATCTGGCGTATTCCGTGGCAAATGTGTCACACCCTCTCCGATAAACGCTTTTTAGACAGCTGGCTATACACTCCTTCGGAAATGGTAAACTGCCTTAGTGAGCATAGTTCGGCAGAATACTCGTAGTCAGATACAAGCTTTTATAAAACTCACTTGTTTGGAAGTTTACGCATGCAATATTTTAGTTATCTGGAAAAGCTTCCCAATAAATTCAATAATTGAATGCATACAGGCATCCAGGCATGTAAGGGAACAACGCGCTAGCTTGCACGCTATTTAAAATTGATTCACTTATGGCATCAAAGACTATCATAGTTCGTTAGGTGATTATATTTATATTTATATTAATATTATTATCATTATTATTATATGAATACTCCCTGAATTTTTCAGTTCCATGCAGATGATACAGCCTTCTATGGCAAAGTGCATTGTGATTTCTTGTGATTGGTGCTGCGTCATCCACCCGGTTTGTCGTCTCCTATTCCGCGCAACCTCAATAAAATTACAAAGTGTTTGAAGTCGCTCCTGTATGTACGTAGTGCACTACTCATAAGATTCTTCGAGAGCCCATTTCTGTTTGATTTTTAAGATCACTTGGCATCCACTGTTGATAAAGCTGGATGCCTTTGCACTAATAACAAATTGAGATTTCGGTTTCCATGCTGATCGCCTACGACCCTGACATTTACCCTTAACCATAGCGATACGGGGTTTCTTGCCCAATTTACTATTTGAATGCACCTGACTCTTCAAGATTCATCGGAGTGTGGTAACAATTTCGCTATGAAGAGTGAGCTGAGAAAAGAAGGGTCAAAATAAGGACCCAAATAAAAACTAAAAATCTTCAACACGTATCAACATTTATCGGCAACAGCACAAATTTTTATTTTGCAATCCTATCATGCATAATCAAGAGAAATTGGTGAACTGGTCTGTGAACCTCCGAATCCTCTGTAGAAAATGGTTGCACATCATTTCACCCCAAATGAAATTTATCTGATTATTTCTGCTTATTTCCCTTCTTTTCTCAGGCTTCCATTCTACTTCAACTGCTAGGCTGGGTCTTCCTACCAGTGTACATCGCGAGTGGAGTAAGTTTTGTTCTTTTGTGTTACAACTCACTAGGTGTGCACTTTGCCGGAGTACATGAAGCGAAGATTTGGAGGAAATCGAATACAAGTTTACCTCGCGGGCCTTTCTCTGCTTTTATACGTGTTTACGAAAATATCGGTAAGTTTTTACATCCACCTTTTCACCGACGAACACAAAAAGGATCCTTTCAAAAGACCCTAAATGCCTTATCGAACAGCCAGTCACGTAGAATCTTATCAAGAAAGGTTAATTTTAACTTTCCTTCCTTCTGTATTTTGATCGTTTGGCACCTTTTCCTTTCACCACAAACCTCAGTGAGCTCACCAACAAAAATGTTCCTATTTAGTTTAGTGCGGTCACCTCCACAGTGGATTAGTTTACCAACTATCGCACTTCTGCTTATGGGAGGACAGTGTATATATTCAAAAAAATAGTGCTCACTTGAAAAAACCTATACTGAAAACTACTGCATCTACAGAACATTTACATATGTCAGGACGAGCTCACAGTACATCGAAGTCCATCTTCATGACTTTAGGCATCATCTATGCACAAGTCAGTCAACTGAATTCAATCTTTTCTTATTCCAGCTGGGATGCATCTTCTTCCTTTAGCTTGGTGACATTACTTTTCGATTTTTGTTTCCAAGATACATTTGCTGATTTTTCTCATCTTATTATTCAGTCTTTAGTTAAAATCACTGAAAACGCCTCAGGTATTTTAATGGGCACATTTTTGTTTAGTGGTTATTCGTAGTAGTAAATAATATTTTTATTAGCTGAAGATATAACATGGTTGAACTGTTTTGTTTTTTATACGAAAAGAAGGATATTGCATAAGTCTATCGTGGTGAGAAACACAGTGACAGCGTTAGCTCACTGTCCATTTTTTCCGCTGCAATAGCTGAAGAGGAAAAGAACAACGGAACGCCACTCCCAATGGGGGGTCGTTTGTGGATTTTTAGCATTCGTCTCATATTGCTTGTAGCAAACCACCAGAAGCTCTCAGCTTTCATAGTGCAAACCAATTCTTGTCACCTTCCAGCCACTGGTTTATTAAATTCTTAGAAAGATTTCTACTAGTCCCTTACAGGATCTAGATCAGTCAGTACCCTAACAAATCTTGCAAATGTGTTCAAGGGTTACAAGTGAGGAGGAATCATCTGGGTTCACTGCAAATATATACCTTCGGATGAAAACTATGAAATAGCCTTCATTGAGCATAATTACAACGTAGCACTTAAACTCAGGACCTCCGAAAATAGCGGACAAGAGCAATTTTATTTTTTTCTGGGTGAATCTCTCAGAAATCTCTCGGAAAAGCATACTCAACACCCTTCGGTCTCCCCTAGATTCGTCCTACTGATATTTCTTCTGAGAATGCTTTGCATTGCTCGGTATAATTGTCAAGGGTGAAATTTGTCCTTTAATACTCGATAGTGGCTCCAGGTGTTCGGGGGCAGTCATCGAGATCCTTTTCTTGTTGATAATTTAGTATAGATGGAAAAGAAACTAGGAGTAGTAGTTTTGGTGTGGTGGAACGCGCTTCTAACTGACGCAAAGAAGAAAGTTGATCTTTTTTGAGCCATCCAACCAGCTCAGAAAACAATTCCAGCATCAATACCTGCGGCTTGTGCTCTTTTGATTACGTTGCTAGTATATATCTCGCCTCAAACGTTTGTCACCACAATGTACAAAAAGACTCAGTTGGTTCATTGGTGTGAAACCTAGTTAGATCTGTGTGTATCCACTTTTTTTATCATGTCCGCTAGTGCCTGAATCAATAAGTATGCTTACTGAAAACTGCAACGATAGATAATGTTACATCATCATGCGAGGCATCCACTTCAATTACTGACCTTGTCGTTTTCTATTTACAGGTTAATCTTTATTCAGGATCTTTGTTTCTAACTGAAGCGTTACAGTGGAATATTTGGGTTTCCATTTTGCTCATTCTGGCCTTCACTTCGCTTATTACAATAACAGGTGAGTGATCAACTGTCTTCTGTGTTGTGGTCAATTTTCCGACTGTGTATAGAGTAACATTACTATTCCGTTTGGTACTATCTATTTTAAGTCCATTGGTGTTTTCATTCGATGTGACAATCTCTGTTTACCATGAAGTCAAATCTAGCCATATAGTGTTCCTCGACTTTTCAGCCTAGATTGGCTTCACTAACTGGATGAAATCTCTACTGAACAGTCCATAAGTGTCCGATAACTTCCTTCATTCTATTTTACCTACATATTTTCTGTCTAGGATGCGCCTTCTCTGTTCTAAATTGCACTTGTATCTGCTGGGCATCTTGAATTGCATTCCGCCTTCAAGTTAACAGTCCAGCATTCGAAGTAGTCCCTTCAGCATTATTGAATCCTAAATGAATAAAGTCAGCGGAGAAATTCGCAGAGGCCTTTTGGCAGCCTTCAGCCGGTCCAAGCATGATCTTGTCACAATGATCGCTGGCGCAGCGCCAATACCTACTGACCAACACTTCTTATACGAACGCGTTGACTTTCTCCTATAATTGTGTAAATTTTTTTTGTGACACACCAATTGGACGCGATCCTTGCTGAAAAAACACCATTAGGTTGTTCCTATTTTCGTGCCTGGGCATCAACCTGGTCGGGTTAGTGGGCAAACGTCTGTGTGATGCAAGTACACCTTTGTGTTATTGCTGTCATGAGTGTTTTTATAGTTACACATAGCGTGGTGAGCGGGACCACAAGTGCTGTGCCGCGGCAGTTGAGCTGATGGGTACCTATCGTTGACTGCGAAGGGCATTTATCATCCATAGAATGAATGAGACCTCAACTTCGTTGGTGTAAAAATGTTTTGTGCAAAGATGTGCAAGAGTTGCTTTTGAAACCAACGGTGATCAGTTTGGAATAGTACATCACAATGTTCTACAAGTGCACCGATATGCGAAGGTACTCCTAGGCAATTCAGTCTAACTTCGATTCGAAACTATGGATGAAATATTATTTTTCAAATAAGTTGAAAGAGCAAGCAGCTTACAAAACAACTATAGTCTCACTTTTACTTAATATATTAGGAACTTCTTCAGAAAATACCATGATTCATGTGATCCACTGGCAAAATGATAGTGCTTATGCAGAAAACTAGTGGGTCTGTCACAAACAGAGGCGCTTTTGTTAGTCAGTCTGCGTAAAATATTCAGGTAGAAATATGAACCACAACAAAAATCAGTGATTCAAGCTCCTAGACCACGTTTATCTCCAACACTGTGCAAATAGCAATAGCTCCTACTGACTCTTTGGATTGGTTGCCGTAAACTGGAAAATTCTTTTAGTTCCATGCAAGACTTTCTGATGATGTACACAGTACTCAGTTCAAACGTGTGGAACCTCCTTAAAAATTGTACTGAAGGTTCGAAAACTGCGGGTTTCGCTACTACTGCCAAAGTGAAACCTCTATTTTTGGGATGTGCCAAAGTTTATCCATCTCCTGTAAAGCTCATCTCTTTGAGTTTGATATATACTTTAGGAAACAGGTTGTTTCGTTCTAAAATGTCTAATTATTTTGGGGTTTTGTGACACTTCATCAAAAAATTATCCCGTTCTCAAGGAAATTGTCACCCTACTTAAGTAGATGTTATGTTTCATGGCTTTTCATTTAGTCACCCACCAAAGCTGTTATATAGCGAAAAATATTTGCGTAATATCATAGAGACTTTTCGTTTCGAGCAAAAAAGCCAATTTATGGTGCCCAAACCCTCTTCTTCTTCCTCAGTTAATAAAGCCACATTTTGGGAAATACACTCATTTCACAGAAGACTCAGGTGAATCTCCCGTTTATGGGCGAAACCGGTCGTGGGCTGTCGAAGAGTTTTCAGCAATCTTATGAGTAGTTTCCTTTACGAAAATATACCGCAATATCTCGACTATCCTACCAACAGAAACATGGAGCGGCTTTTATGCAGCACACTCAGTTGAAGAACATCATAAACGAGAGATTTACTTGAGTCTCCCTTGAAAACCAAATGGATCTCCAAATGAGTGTATTTGTTGCTATCAGTCCAACTTGGGTTCAAGTAGAACATAAGGTTGACGGAAACTCGGGGACTGCGCTTATCTGACGAGCCCCAAGAAGGGGCGAAACCGGTCGTGGGCTGTCGAAGAGTTTTCAGCAACCTTGTGCTTTCCTTATGAAAACCACATCCCCTTTTTGTGTGGCTTACTTATCGTCCGTATACTTGTTTGATGATGCACTTTTTATCGAAGTGCTGAATTGTGCCATTCGTTGGGGATTTTCGTTTCACATCTGCGCACATTTTAAGCACATGCAGGCACAATTGACGGACACGGCTGTCTAGATACGAAGGTAATGGATGAACGGCAAAGTTGACTCTAATACAGCGAATTATCACGCACATATGACCGGAAGAATATCCTCGAAACTAAAAACTGTGGTTTGCCCAGAAGGTTGTAATCGAATTTGGAAAAGTTTAAATTTTGAGAGTTGAATCTCAGGTGCGCCACTATCAAATACAAAAAACGGTTCCAGAAGAGACTATCATGAAAGGCTTGTTGAGGTCAGGATATCTACCTGAAATCCGTCGCTTTGCGTGACATGGTCCAATAATATACTAGTCAGCACTTGTGTTTGGGTCGCCCTACTGATCGCCAATAATAGGTCTAATGACACTGTTTCTTTCATACGTCTTTCAATCAAAAAGGTGGGTTGCCCTGAAAATTATTTGTCGAAAGGGGGAGTGTATTGGGACTTATGAATTTCATTTTCAATGAGTTTTGTTAAGTCAACTGAGGCTTTCAGATTAGACTCATTTCCGTCAATTAAGTCAGTTTTCCTAGTTGTTATAGGTTGAGAGCTTTGTTTGTTTCCTCCTCCCTATGAGGATTTACGATTTTTTAAGCCAAAAGAGAATGAAGCTGGTCTTTATACTTGAAGTTCCTCTACTTGATGAGTGTCCCAATGAAATGCTACATTTCTGCATGTAACAAATTGCAATGGAGTTTCTCCGCAGCGGTCGCCAAAAGAGATTCGTCAAAAATAGTTACTCCGGAAAAGTGTACAGTGTAGAGGGTTTAGTAATTTGGCATTATTCTGCGATTCAACATGGAGTGCTTGTTTGCGCGCTGCCTTCGGCGACTGGAGGTCGAAACCTATTCTTCAGAAGCATAATGTGAATACGGCAAAATCGACCAGCATTGGTAATTGTAGATGGTCGGTGGCTGTATTTAGGCACGTTATAAAGGAGCGACCCTGTAGACAGCTGAGCTCACTCCATCCGGAAAGTTCTACTGTTTTTACACAAAGTTCAACCTTCTCATTGTATTCCCAAACTTTGTCTTCTCAGGCGGCTTGGCAGCTGTGATCTACACGGACACGTTGCAGTGCTTCATCATGGTTGCTGGTGCTCTGGTTCTAGCCATACTCAGTGAGTCACGTCTCTTATTTATGTAGTCACAAGTGTCAGCTTTGCACTCACGGAATTAAAATATGCTCAGTAGTAGCCTGAACAATATTGGAGTAGAGGCCGTTAAAGGTATCTTATCGGCTTATTGGTCGAGTCACTCAAAAATGTCTTTTGCATCCAGAATTCTCAATGGCAAATCATAGTACAGTAATATACGGTGAATCCGAAAAGTTGGTCATTTAATGAAAGAATAAAGGTAGATATTTTTCGCTGTGTCCTTTTAGGTCATACAGTACTTTCATATTTTGTGTAAGCATGAAAAAAAAAACAGTTTCTTCTTGGTGGTAAATCGTAGTTTTAATGTAAACCTGACATAGTAAGTCACGGTTATCACGAGATGATGCTTGAGGCGTCTTCACACATGTTGTCAGCCTGGTCGTTTTGTCAAATGTTCTGGATGTTAGGCTCCTTTATATTTAACATTTCAGAGACTTCCAGTGTACAGTTTCAGTGCATCACATCCAGCGTTACTGCTTCTCAATAAACGTGGGACCTGTTCAACTTCAAACAATGATATGTTTTCGCAGCGAAGTGATTGCTGCATCAAAACTACCTATTTTGTCGAAAAGTTCTCACGTAGCCTTCGGGTAACCTGAAGTCATACACTGGTTGGTTAGGTTCGCACACCATTCGCCGGGTTTCAGCAATAACCATGCTTGCGTCACAGACTGAAATCTTCGCTGACATCAGTCAAGGTATCCGGTGAGAAAGCTTACCCACGGATTTGGGATACTCTTATTGCTGGATGATTTATTGCGGTGATCCGTCATTACCTCTGTTATATAAGTTGTTGATCCGCAGATTGCTACAAATGCTTCCGTCCAACAAACTTAGCACCAATGGACGCTGTCTTCGGACTGTGGCAGAACTCTGGCCTGATGGCCTTGAGAGATCGATGCAGTTGTAAGCTAAACGTTGTAGCTCAGAGCGGTTGGGCTATATTCGGTACGCCGTTATTTTGTAAGTTCACAATCCCCTAGGACTGCGTTAGTTTTGACGACTACAACAACAGCCAGACTATTAACTTCGCCCACAATGACCACAAGCCTGGAGTTGGTTGTATTAAACTTAATATAAAACATACCTTAGATCCGACGCAATCGTCTTCCTGGTTCTTGAGATACAAGAAACACCAAATTTCAGAATAGCAGCATCCTACTTTCCATTAGGTAACGGGTGGTTGCCGTGATGCATATATATTTAACCTTTTAATAATATTGATACCATACTTGTGAAGGCATTACAATATGCAGCGGTACATACGTTGGTACGTTTGCTGTCTGTACGTGCTGACTGAGAGGTGTAGTGAGAAGCGGACAGCTTCTCTTGTCTTGTGGCACAAAAGCAGATGTTTCCAGTCTGATTCCGGAAGCGGATGCTTCTGTGCACATCCAACGCATCCGTAGGCGCTTGTCATACGAACAATAGGCTAGAATTAACCACCGGTGACGAAATTGTACCCTAAGGTATCTACGTTAATCCAGACTCCGTGAACTAGGTATCCGTTGCGACATTATAATCATTCTCGCGTTTAGGTATGGCTGACCCATAAATATATTAATGCCTCTGGTATCACCGTTCTACAATATCTGTACTACTCACGGAAGTTCACTGTGTAGTTTTCGGGGACAATAGCTACTTCCGCAGATGAGAGGACATGGTGAAAGTCGACAGTTGAAGCTGACTGTGGTTGGTTGTACTGGTATATGTTTCGAAACTATCGCGGAATTCAAATAACCAAGCTCAACTGGTGAATGGACAGCAAGTGTTTTTTTGGAACATGCAATTTTAGGCGCATCTTTCGAAAAGACCAACTAAGCAGTCATTCTTGTGCTAGTTTCCTTAAGTGATCATCCATGTCTCTACTGTGTTCGGTCCTTCTTTCAAAATGCAGTTTGCCTTTTGCAGTTCCAGAAAGAGGGGTTAATGCCCTCAGCGGCAGTCCACACGACTAACATGGCTAGTAGTTCCAATCTGCCACTCCATTGATTTGTTGGTCAATGTGAAATGCCTTCCCTTCTGTTACCTTAGCTTTTCATGTTCATACGTGTAGCGCAGTTAGGACAGCAGAGTACTTTGTTCACTTCTTGGTCTCTGGAGTGGTTGCCCCGACAAAGGTACCCCTTTGTGAGGGAATGATTTCACTATTAAAGTGTCTTTCGAGGTCTCATCAGTCCCACTTGAAGTTGGTTCCTTAAGAGGAGGACATCTACACGCCCAGCCAAGGCACCACTCACTCGTTGACAACTAGCATAACAGCAACAGTTGCGGCAATGAAATTGCCCTTAGTTTCTGTTGCAATGTGTTTGTTTTGGACGACTAAGGTGGTTGCAGCCCTGGACTATTTGCTGCTGATTTAACGAAGCTGATTTGACGCTTAAACTTGAACAATATTGTAGATAGATGGCCACCATGCTTAGTTGGTGAGGGGCAAAGGAATGTGCTTTTAATGTCAGAATAATTGATATTGTCGCCCATCACCGTGTTCTGTCCGTCCCTGATGTAATGTCACACATATCCAACCGATAAATCTTGAGGTTCAATTACCGGTGTTCTTCAGCATGATTAGCTTCAAATACCACCTTAATTTACAAAGCATACTTCTCATGGCGACACGGCTGACCAAATAAATATGAAAGTAGCAGGATAGGCAATCCGCATGTAGCCAAACAAAACGGACTTGATACCCTCCAGTAGAAGAACACATCGTGGATTAGATATTCTACCGTCTGATCGCTTGGTTCGAATGTGCAGTGGACTTGTCACGGCCGGCCTTGTCCCTGGAGATAGTATACCTATTACGATGGTTATGCAAAAGATGTCAGTGGTTACCGTATGAGTCTCATGAATGAATTTTTAAGATGACCTATTATGTACAAACAAGGCAGTTTCTAATATCCGAAGACTCAAGTAGGAACTGCAATCATTACATTACTAATGTTTTTGTTCCGCTTGCAATGAGTTGCAATGAATTCCTTCTTCGGAACATGAAGCATCTATTCACTTCACCCATTGATAACCAATTCAGTTAAATGAAGAAAACTGCTTATGAGCGGGTTACGCCGTTATTTTATGCTTCAATATCCTCTCGGTCAAGCGTGAACTAGTTCCCACTGTGACTTTACATTTATACGGAATTCGAGAACAAGGATTGTTTCACGTTTCCTTTCAGGCTAAGTGCGTGCATAGGATGCTCCTAACAAGAAAGTGGCTCAGTGGAAGATCGTGAACCAACAATAAACAATGGTAAACTGAAGCCAAAATTAGATTCTAGGATGGGGTGCTGTAAGTCTGCAGGTCAGCAACAACGGGGGACAGTTAAATAACTGTCTTCTCAAGGTAGAAAGTCGAATATACGCATAACCGATTTGAGGTCTTTAGGAAGCCAACGTGAGTTTGGCAATATTTACGGTAATAAAATTCACGGTGGTTGTTTGCGACAATTAACGAATCTTCCACGATTCTGTGCGCTATCTATGTAGTCTGCATGAAGTGTAGACAACGAAATAAGAATGACTACCGAAACCATGAAAAGAGAAGCTTCCAGTAGATACTTTTAGGCGTTTCATGTCTCATTTAGGTTGTTGGTTAATGTGCAAAGGACGCTTGAAATCTCACTTACACTGATGTGGAGTAGATTTAGGGCTTTTAGATACTCAGTGTAGGAGGTGGATCCTAATTTTGGTCTACGGACGGCTCATCAGCGTTGTGCTCGGCTTTCATTTTGATCACGGAATCCTGCTAGTCACCCCTTAGTTGCACCAGAAAGCTATCAATAGGGCTTCTGGTCAGTACCAACATCCTAAATTGTGAAACAAAACTGGCCTAATATTGTGTGCACTTGGATGTCGGTCGCATGGCCTGGTAGCCACACTCAGCACAATATACGCTCTGTTCTACACTAATGTAACTTTAGCTGATTAAAATTGCTGATGGATCCTTGCAAAAACGATACTATAGGATTGCGAATTGTGACTTTGCAGTACAGTTTGTCGACATTCTTTTAGAAATTTAAGTTCTCACTCAAAACAACAGATGTTGCACACGAATCCACTCATTCATCATCTCTGTTTCGCATTTTCCGGAATTATTCATAAGTCTGACTACAATCCTTCGTAAAAATTCCACATTTTCACTTGCGTTGCTCCGCAGATTGCTCCTCTTTATGACAAGATCACTTGGCAACAATGCACCCACAGCGTCGATAATTTCAATTTTTTCGCTTTCTTTTCGATGGTGATACACGAAGGCATATAGGACCCCGATGGAAAGACTTCATACATAGCAATTGCGTCTAAGCAGCAGATGGGTGATTCATTTCAGTAAGTCCACAAAAAATCCTGAGAGCTTCGAGGAAGTAACGTAATTACCAGATGGACAGGAGTGACTGTATCCTGGATGCCGAGCCGAAGTTGAGAAATTGACTAGTCGAAGGACCTTTTCAGTATCATCTCACGTGCACCGTATGGTGAAGAACGTTCTCTACGCATACCACTGTATATCTTGGCGTTCTCTGATAGGGACGTTAAGTAAAAGGCGATCTTACGCAACCCTAGATATAGATTGTAACCACACCAGTTTAGTTGTCATGTAAATTTCTATGCATCTGCTTAACGGATTTCGACCACGATAATAGGCCCATATTCAAATGAATCTAGTTGCATTCGCTGTCCCGTTTCAAGAGCATCTTGAACACTTTTGACAAAGTCGGTGATGTAGCCAGAGTGATGATTAAGACTGAAATTAGTCTTATCACAATCTGTAAGAGTGGAGAAGAAGTATCTTACCTGTTTAAGGGACTCGTTCCTCGATTCTGGAAACTCGTACGTTCCGTTTTTTTGAAACAAACTGCTTGTCGATTGGGACATACTCTGAGGCAGTCATTGGTGCCTCACTTTTAACCGGTGTTGCCATTTCTATGTACTTTTGTAATGAGAGGACTGACCATAGATCAGTCTTTTGTTTTAGGTACTGAGACGCAACTGACAGAACGATCGGAATAGGAGCGGTAGTCCCACCTACGTACCAGTTGCTGTCGCTGGGTTTAGTGTCCAGCTGCTACCCTCTAGTCGCCGCATCCGGATTAATTGACAGACTTGTCTCCCTGTCCTGATACTCAGTAAAATATCGGACCGCGGGCTGTGCGTATTTACTCGAGTACTGCAGTGCGTAACCACTTCATGATGCCCACTTGATTCCGAACATCCGAAATAACACATTCCGTTCCGCAGTTTCTCTTTCGACATTCAGTCACTTCCTCCCGGATAAACCAAATGACCTGTACCAGACTGCGTTTGTTTTCTTCTTTTAGAGGCTCGTCCACGTGACTGCGGCTCTACCACACCGCACCACCTCCAGTAATATCTACACAGCAGTTCACCAAGTTATCGTTTTCCCTCCGCTTTCGTCTACTTGTAGCTCCCATGTGCGTAAGTACATCTGTGGCAGTTGAGACGGCTGGCTAATTGAACCGATTGATAGTCCTTACTACGTTCTCGTCGGTATTGTATGCTTTTGAACGTTTAGATCCAAGCTCTCAAACCTTATGTAATTGAAATGGGCCGAATTTCGCATGATTACGAGAAACCACTGAGATTGCGATAATAACGAATTATTTTACACTGTTTATTTAATATAAATCACTGATTTTTCTCGTTTCGTTCCAGCTTGACGTCGACTTCCTGGTAGTTTATTTCCTACAGACATGTGCAAATATGTTTTAACTACCACTTAGTCCCTGGAAAATATTATTCCACGTATTCGCACATTTTCATCTAATTCTGCACTTTCTTCAGGTTACATCCGTGTTGGAGGATTTCCTGGTATCGTCGCAGGTTATGGCCGAGCCATTCCACATATCGACCCGTATTCAGCGGAAGGAGCACAGATGCTCGTTGACCTGGCCAACATATCCACACTTACAAACAGCACATCACTGGCCACGTTGGTAACCCACCCTAATCTTGGTTCTGGCTTAGGATGCAGTATTCCCTCACCCAAAGCATTCCGGTTGTTGCGTGAGGTTGATGACCCAGACATGCCATGGCTTGGATTCATCCTGGGTCAAACTCCAGCGTCCATCTGGTATTGGTGTGCTGACCAAGTCAGTTTTCGTTGAACCTTCACTTACTCTTTTGTTTCGCCTAAACAAATGTTAACCATGTGATGTGTGTTATCCCGCTTCTCTATAGCCTTCACCATCTACTCTCATTTCCATTTTTGAATGACTTGCAAGTTAAGCCAGCCCTCGGTAAAATACCTACAGGTGACCCTGCAGCGTGCATAAAATGGTGACACCAAATGTGGGGTCATAGTTCCCTGGTACCTAGATTAGCGTGGCACCTGATAACGTAATTACAACGAGTATACTTACCCCACTTTTATTTGTTCGGCATGTTGTATTGTTTCTTTTGAATGAAAACTTACGACTTATTGGTTTATCATCCCACTGACAATGGTGAGATGAAACACCATATGGAGCTCCATCTGGGAGAGCAGTAAGCACGAACACTACTGGTGGAATTTACCAGGATTGTGCTCCAGTTATGATGATTCATCTGAGTCTAAACACGGACGTCCGAAATTCACCAGCAGACGTGACTATCATTCGATTTTATCCTCAATATTGCAAGGCTTGAAAACTGCACCATAGGTTGGAGTTTGCTTTTTTCGCTGAAATCGCTATACTCAAGCTGTGTTGGACGATGAGAACTGTGTGCTTTAGTTAATTAAAGTAAAATTAACAGCCATACGTAAGATAGCTCTTGGTACTACATGCCTTCTGTACTTAAGACCTCACAGGCTCCCATTCGGAACAAGGTTTGGAATTTACGCTGGTCACAGACCCTTGTACAAGGGTGGTTTCATATCCTATGACCACAGTTCATCTGGAAATGTCGAACTATGCGAATCTTTCTCACATGTTGCCACCAGTTTTGCCTTTAGCCTACCGTATTAAATATGTATCTTGAAGAGTGAGTCGCACATGCGCTTCAAGAGCACGGACAATTCATCATACGCATCACAGTCTTTTGAGCATCAGAAGACGTCACTTCATTGTTTATAGTCCAGCAAATGTGATCTTCCAAATGTTATAAGCCCCACTAATTGTGCTCATCAGGAGGCTGCTTTAAGTTTTCCGTCCCTTGGATTTTCGGCCAAATGCGTTTGTAGCCAAGCTCCTCCATTTTTCTAATTGAACTGCTTGACTTCCTGATTAAGTACAATTATTCACTGCTGGCTATGTTTATGCGACTGCGGCAGAATTGTGAGCTCTTTGTAATCATATCCATCTACAGTGACAATGCTAACGGCAGCACCTATTTTCATTGTCCGAAAAATTTGCCCAGCATGTATTCTATAGCCTTGCCACCTTCTGTAATATGTGTATAATGGACAGTCTGATTTCCTCTCGAAATTTTGGACTGTCTTTGGTCTTTGTTCAGCGTTGCATTTAGAAACCATTATTGTGTAACCCGTGCGTGATACTATGTAGACCTCTCAGTGTTACCTAATGAGTAGAGAATGAGCCCGCACTGTCTGAGTCTGTACATCCTTTGCGTGTTAGTATCTACATCGTACAATTCAGGGATGTTCATAGTATGTTCGCACAGTAACTCATGTTCTGTTTTTCGCAAGGCTGAATCTTGTCTGTCTGTCTGTTGGTCGATTGATTGATGGGAACAACGGTGCTCTGCTTGCGGGTATGATCGGCACATGAGTTTTGGGCTGAAAACTTTTTCATTTCTCACCTTTCATTGAGCAATGCTTTTTTTCAATTCCAACATCAAGATGATGGTACAACGTGTCTTGGCAGCAAAAAGTTTGTCGCATGCCCAAGGTGGTACTTTGATGGCCGGCGTTATCAAACAGCTGCCGTTGTTTATAATGGTCATTCCCGGGATGATCAGTCGGATGCTTTATCCCAGTAAGTTTCGCAATGATCCGTGACGGCAGTTGGCATTTGAATAATCTGTCTTGAAAGCGAACTGAGTCACATCAGTGTTTTCGAATGTTTGCTTTACCTCAGGTGAGGTTTGATGGTGTTGTTTAGAATGGCGCAGTTCTGCACCTCAATTTGTTAAAAATACCGGGCCTTCTTCTGGTCTGAAGCATAGCTACTGAACGATGGCCATTCATCTGCATTTGTTCAGTCCTGAATCTACGGTGTGTTGCTGCTCCTATGTATTTTCTGCAAACATATCTGGTAAATAAGCAGTCTTTTCTTTACTTTATACATCATTAATTAGGCCGTCTGGAACGTGACCACTGCATTGGACACGCGCATGAGGCCATACCTGACCGAGAATTTCTACCATGGATTATTACCAAACATTGTTAGGAGGGAACTTTCAGCAACCTTGTGAGTAGTGCATTACAAAAATATATATGTATCGCGATATTTCGAATATCGGAGCGACTGAAACATGAGGCGGCCTGGTGCAGCATATTTAGTTACCTAGAAACATCGAAACCGAGAGATTCAAATGGTGAGCTCTCGAAAAACCATATTAGTTTGCAAATGAGTGTATATTTGTAATGTTAGGAAGGGTCTGAGTGCTTTGCTTAGGTGGAAAACGCAAGTTTTCCAGACGATCAGCTGCAAGGACTCAACAAAGCAGCACAATCGATATCACTGATACACGAAACCCCTTTATTTCTGCTGCCACAGGCGGGTTTCTTAGTCGCATCGGAACAATCTGTTAACGTGAATTAGACTGGTTACATGCACAGGTAACATGCACAGTCGTCCGCTGAAGTATATCTCATCAGTGAAATGTTTTTGTAAGCATGGAGTAACTCAAAGCAGAATGACTTAAACGGCCAACGTCACATTTTTTCAACCGGCAACATGTTATGCTTTCTAAACAAGGAATTTGAACTAAGTAAAGATACAGGGTATTCAAACAGTTCAAAGTTGAAATGCCGGTTGTCAGATGTCACGCTTAGTTTTTGCCTCTTTATAGTTAACCCTGTACACCAAATAATGTTTATGATCTTTTCCATCTTTTGTAATGAGTCGGTTTACCGAAAAAAGGTTACCCAAAAAGGTCTCGGGAATGAACTATAAATTTTTAAGTGAAGATAGTAGGTAGGCAGTAGTGCACTAGTAAGATAATTTCGTGCAAAATTTTATGAACACCTGACGCAAGTGGAAAGTTCACCCTTTTTTGGTTTGCCATTTTCCGGACGTTGCACTACGTTATATGGAGTGCAACATGACAAAAAGTAAAAGCTGACACTAGTCAGTCCCATAGCTTTAGATGTCCACATTTGCTCGTTCTATTTATTTATTATTTACTCGATTGGGAGCTTCGCCGCAGGTCTGAGATTTTAAGGTTTAATTTTACTGAGTTAAGAAGACCCTAGTTACTGCAAGTCTTTCAGCTCCGTACAATATCTTTTTTACCTGGTGAGGCATTTTATGCAAGTTTCTATCATTCCCTTTGCATATACTTAATCAACTGTTCTTATTGGGGTGAATCACAACAGTAGTCGTAAGCAATCGCGTTTCCCATCCTTCTAATCCTTGTTCACCTTTGTCATTACGGTATCAGTGACTCAGATTGTGTTGGTTTCCTGTTTATTTTCAATTAGCCGTGAGCTATTAAAGCTAAGACTCATTCTGGCGTGCGTCCAACATCTGTGGTCTGAAGCAAGCATGCTTCAAACAAAAAAACTTCTGATTAAGCCTGTTTCAACTAAATGCCAGGGACGAATGTTCTGAATCGTTCAATCAACTCGGGATTGAGAGGGGGCATTTGTTCTGTTATGTCTGTCTTACAAAGAAATATCTGTTCTTTCGTGGACATCTAGTCCACAAAAGCCTCGAAGCTGTAAAATCGGAATAACTGCGAACTGTTGATAGGTTGTTCAAATTCAAATAATGCCATCAACTCACCGTTTTGTACTAATGGATTCTGGTTTATCACCTAAAAATTTTTTCCTGACTCAGATAGTTCACGAATTTGGCACACTATATTTAATAGCTTGAATCCATGTTGATTCATTATTGGCTACCGGGTCGGATGCTAAAAATTAGTCACTTCTACCACGGAAGGGGCTAGGTGAGATTTGATCGATGCTTCGGAACCGTTGTGCAGTACTGCATCAGTCCATTTTTTCCAGATTTATTAGAATCTGTTCATCTTTAGCCTACACAATAAGTGGAGAATGCATCCGTTGATAAATCGACGAAGCGTTTGCCATATGGTACTCGTTTCTAGGAATGAGCTACAGAAAAGGTTTTACACCTCGTACCGGGTTCAGAATCACATGATTTGGCAGGGGACAACGATGAAGTACCTGAGTACTGTCAGTACGGCTCGTTCTTAGAATATTTTCCCAGAGAAACTAGATGCTTTAATTATGTTTGATTTCCTTGGTATGTATCATCGTTTTCCTTCTGGATTAAATTTTGGTCTGAAAATGTGTATATCTGGGATGACTCTTGTATCCACATCTGATTGTTTTACCAGTCTTTCATGTCCACTCTGCTGACTAATATATTCTAAACTATATTTTTTCGATTACACAGTGAGGAATCACCGATGTCCTTCAACAGTTTATTGCTGATACTGATGATGAGACGGTTAACTGCATAGGGATGTCCGTAATGAAAAGCAATCAGTTCGATATTAACAACCTGTACCATCGAAAAATGTCATATCTGTTTTTCAACGATGACAGGGTATCTATCCAACAAGCGTACTCCTTTAGTGTCTTCAATGTGTCACACAATGTTGTTCCATATACTGCTAACTAATGTTAATTCGAATGGAACTGCGTGATTTTGATGAACATATGATGGTACATTCAAAATTAACACCGAGGATTACCACCGGCAGCAGGCAACAGATAACTTTTATGGCGAACCAACCAATGCTGAGAGAGCTTGACATGTAGAAAATGCTGTGAGAAGTTCTCTCGGGGGGACGAGTGACTGCAATCTTATCACCATCATTCGTATTGCAATTGGTATGTCGTAGATGAATGAAAATAGCGTCGTATAGGGTTAAGAGGCCATGGCTGAATGTATTTTGCAAATACCACCATCGCACGTTTATTGTGGGTTTTGAACATATGAAGATTTTCTACGTTAAAGTGTTTCTGATACGATATTCTAAATGGAGGAGCGTTCATAAATAGTAACATTATATACTTGTGCAATGAGGTTTAGTTAGTCGAAGCGTCACAGTCTCACAAAAATAAACTCAAAGCCGGGTTTCCGGCTAGAAGAAGTTCGGCTTTGTTGTTCGTTTTGATGAGAACGTAGCAAGCACGTAGTATCCCGAAGATTCCCATAAAGATAAAAAAGGCACATCAATTGACACTCACATTTCCGTGCATCTCTTCAGGTATTAATGTTATAAAGTACTTAAATGTAGTGGCCACCAGTGCCTTCTGTTGTGCGTATCCTCAGGAAATTCCAACTCAGTACATTGAATGAAGAGAAAAAATCTGAACTAAAACATTGCAGTTCTGAGTAATTTTTGCCTGGTGGAAATTGGTATTTATCATTGCGTTAAAAATAAAATATTGGTGAGTCTGATGCTGGTTTCCCAATACGCTCCGACGTATTTGTGATCTGTGTCTGATGTATGGAGGTAACTGAACTGTCGGCAGGACCCTCCACCTCTCGCATTTGCGTTCCTTCAAGATCACGAAAGTACGCGGACGTCATTCTGATTACTAAGTTACTTATCCCGCATGTTTCTACTTTGTCCATGCAAAGTGCGCCGTTGTACGAAAGTATTGGTTGCAGATTCTTCGTGCCTTGTTCGACAGTTGAGTTGTTCATTCATTCCGCGAGCGATGTGTTTTTCAATCTTTATGACATTTTTGAACGTTACTTTGCTGTTGATGCATGGCCCCGGGAACAGAAATGTTTTCTGTGCTAGTGGATAGAGGTTGTGTTTTGGCCAAACCTGTAATTCTGGGACTCAGTGAGATTACCGGAGAAATCCATCGTTATAATGAGAGTTTCCTTTAAAACGACGATGGTGAAGTTTCATGTGAAAACAATATAGTCTGACTGAGGGAAAATCGGAACTGTGCCCAACTGATGGGCCAAAAAAAGGGTAAAACCGGTCGTGAGCTGCCGGTGGGTTTTCAACAACCTTATGAGTAGTGTGTTATGCCTATGGCATAGTATAGTCCCTTGAACTACCCCAGTTTTAGTCCAAATGGTCATTTCAGTACCCGGCCTTCAAACATTCCTGGATCCATATTTCCGCAGATCTCTCCCTCACATGAGATTAGGTCCACTTGATATAAACCCTGTATTCTTTGTGAGCGAATAGCCTTCTTCAAATAAAAATTAGTTTGAAAGCAGAGATTAGCTGTAGGTCTCTCTTTTTGGAACTTTACACGGTCCATTTGCCAACCCCGAGTAAAATCTTATATTTTGGTGGGTTAGATTGTGTCCCATTTGTGTCTACACAAAGAGACACTGGGGTAGAATACCTCATCAGTGTCAAGAATGCTGAATCTTCAATCGGTAGAATTCGACCAAACACCCCACCTGTTTGAGAGATTGACGCGAGTTGATACGGTTGCAGGTTGATAACCATAGCAGGTCTCCGTCTACAGCGATTTATATATCTATCGAAGCATCCGACTGCCTTGAAAGACCACTTGGTATTCAATCGATACTTATCGCTGTAGCGTCACTGATTGACGCAAGTAATGGTGCACTGAATTTCTGCAGCCTTGTTTGATTCTCATTTTTGCCAGCTGTATTTAAATACAACTCTTCAGCAGACTCAGTCAGTTGCCCTGATGAAGGTGATATGAAAATCGAATGACGTATTCCGGACCATGGATTGAGCGTTCTAGAAAATTGTTCCCCTTCCATCAGAAACATAAGAATGGAAAATGAATAAGAACAAACTGTTCTCATCGATATGACAATCTTCAATTCTAGAC